GTTAATCATCTAATATGCCTCTGTTATGTTCTAAAATGCCCCCCATTCCAAATAAGTTGGAAACACACAGTAAACAAAGATACATACTGCTCTTATCACAAATTTGAAAGAGTGATAATCATATATTATTGAAATATATTTAAAACTCATTCTTACAAACTATAAAATAAATTTCAAAGTCAACAAAATATTTTTATTCTTGCCAACATTTTAACTTTATAAAAAGTATGTTATATGCTTGTGGTACAGTGACTGTATCAGAGCAAAGGTTTGTGTATATTAGTGTTCAATTGCAACTATAAAGAAGCTTAATTGAGTAAAGGACTTTCAGATCAATGTTCATGTTCAAAACAATGTTTCAGAAAGTTAAACTACCCAAAATAGAATGTACAAATGCCACTTAAGCTTAATTAGCCCTTCACCAGGTACTACTGATAATGGTCTAAGTTATCCTTTTGATACCGAATAATATTCTAAACAATATCACTTTTATTTCCATTTAATTTAGGGATCCTGAATTAAATCATAAAATTCAAAAGTTGATTTTTTGGAGTGTTTATTTGCTATTCCATTAATCATTTCTACTGTCAGATTATATATTTTTAAAAACTCAGATCAGTATATTTCATTATTTATGTGTATATTTAATTTCTTTTTCTTCAAGTATATCTCAACATACCATCCATATATAATTTCATACATTTTAAAGTCTGTAAATCATTAGTAGACACTGAAAAGTGAAGATTACCAACAATTGTACCATGTTATTAAGAAACTATTTTTCATTTTTCAGTATTCTAATCCAGTCCTAACCATTTGCATACATAACTTTTATATTAGGTATCAATGTTATACATACACAATTTTGATATGTTTTGTATCCACTTGCAAGCATTTTCATAATCTTTATAATTATCACCTTTAATGGCTATATACATCATCAATATTATACACTGTAATTACCAATCCATTCTACCACTGGTATTTGTTCAAAGAGGTAACTGCAGCTTGGTATAGCCAGTTAAAAGAACATAGTAACTATGGTAACTGTGAAGACTGTATTAGCATGAAAAAAATACTTCTAAGTCAATGAATCAAAGAAAAAATTTTATCACTATTAAAATTACAAATAAGTAAAAAGTATGTATGCCTACTACAAGGGCTAGAAAGGAATATAAAAAATAAAAAAAGATTTTGGGGGCAGTAAATTTCTTTTATTTTGACTGCTATTAACATTATAATGATATCTACCTGGAAAAGAAGAGGCATTCAATAAATAGTTTTTGAAAAAGGGAATGACGTGATTAAAGAAAAATTCACCTACTATCCATAACCTTGATTTTGTGTGTGTGTGTGTGTCTGTGTGAGACAGAGAGAGAGAAATCAACACTATTACACTGAAAAATTAACTTGGATTTCTAAAGTATTTTAGAGTCTTTTGTTGAACAACTCTGGCTTTAAAAGCAGGCAAAATAGGCATTTATCTCCAAGATGTGACTAGGACAGCCACCACCAGAACATTAACCTCCTCAAGACCACGGAGGACAACTGAAGAACTCTCTTTAAAGATTCTGTTCTTCTTGTTGTTAGTGCTGTCGAGTTGGTTCCAACTCACAGCAACCCAATGTACAGCGAAAGGAAATACTGCTCGGCCCCATGCCATCCTCACAGTCGTTGTTATGCTTGAGCTCATTGTTGCAGCCACTGTGTCAATCCATCCCTCAACGGGATGGATCTGTTCTTCGGTTGAAAAATTAAAATGAGAATTTCCTTGGGACTGGTAGTATTTTAAGTTTTCTCACTCACTTACGCATTCTAATGCGCGAGGTTATTAGATCTTTTCTTGAAAGTTACTTCATTCCTTCATTAAATTCCATAAGATACACAGGAGAGCAATGAAGATAAGCTTCTCACCTTGCCCTAGGCCAGCTTTATTACTGAGTATTAAACTACAGAAATATTTTTATTTTAAAAATTATAGATAGAGGCTATATATGTTTATACAAAATGTTTATCTTGACTTTTAAGGAATTACAACAGGAGAAAAGTGGCTAGGTCATAGCTGGTTCTTCAATGTCAAATGTTATCCTTTGATAAAGATAAGAGAACTAATCAATTTAAATCTACCTCTTGCAATATTAAATCTGTATATTGTAAAGTGTGACATATTGAAGAGATCCAAGGAATTCATGGAAGAAATAATAGAGAAAGAATTAGTGATTGTAAAATAAAGACATACCTGTCTTTCATTAATTGATAGAGGTTTTCTTTCATATATTCAAATACAAAATAAAGATGGTCATTTTCTCTAATAACTTCTTTCAGTTTAATCACATTGGCATGATTAAGTTTCTTCAGAGACTGCAATACAGCAAATAAGTATTAAAATTCTTAAAGCAAGGTTACAGAAGTTAGCAAAATCTCACTAATGCTAGTTATGATAATTACCTTAAGTAGTGTTCTATTTCTTCTGGATTTGTTAATAAGTTATAACATTTTAATACCTACATAATTAAAAAATATCTTAGAACACCTATTTAAAGTAAGCTGTAATTGTTTTTCTTAATCTTTTTTTAAAATAATTTTATTTTGTTGTTGTTGAGATATACACAGCAAAAACAACACATGGCTCCAGAAAATGGGGAGTCCATGAGAATTTCAAATTCTTTTCTACATTTTCCCCCTTTTGATCAGGATTCTTCTTCCCAATCTTTGATCAAAATGTTCACTAATGGTAGCTGGGAACCATCCAGTTCTTCTGGTCTGATGGCAAAGGAGGCAGTTGTTCATGGAGGCAATTAACCACACATTCCATATCCTCCTTCTATTCCTGATGCTCCTTCTTCCTCTGTTGCTCCAGGTGAATAGAGACCAATTGTTGTGCCTTGGATGGCTGCTTGCAAGCTTTTAAGACCCCAAGCACTATGAAATGAACTAGGAGGCAGAACAGGAACACTAAACACGTTATTAGGCCAATTAACTGGGAAGTCCCATGATACCCTGACCCTAAACCTCCAAACCAAGGAACCAAATCCCATGAGGTAATTGGTTGTACTTAAGCAGCCTCAGCTTTTTGTCTTTTTTCGTTGTTGATATATCACACAACTTTTGCCCATTCAACTTGTAATTGTTTTAAATAATGCATGTAACTACAAAAACAAAGCAAGTCAATCATAGCTATTGAATACTTCAATCTATCACTTTTTTCCTTCCATCTATTAAGTAGGTCTAATATTTTTCTGACTTGACCGCGTGAAATTTTATTCAAAAGCCTCCAAAAAGTTATCCAAGTCATACAGCATGAAATATAAGTAAATGGTAAGTAGCCACTCATAAGTAAATACCCTGGTGGCACAGTGGTTAAGTGCTAGGCTGCTAACCAAAAGGTCAGTGGTTCAAACCCATCAGCTGCTCTGCTAGAGAAAGATGTAGTAGTCTGCTTCCGTAAAGATTACAGCCTCATAAACCCTATGGGGCAGTTCTACTCTGTCCTATAGGTTTGCTATGAGTCAGAATCAACTCAATGGCACACAACAACAATAACAATTTTAGAAGTTATATTTCCTTTGATAATATGATGCCATTTTGAAAGTGGGAGTCTACTTTCAAATATGAGTGTAGAGTTATTTTTTGTTCTCCAATGAAAGCAGAACCAGAAGAAATGAGCTAAAACTACTTTGGAAAGATAAAGGAAAAATATAAGAAACATAATTGTCTTTGGAATGCTGCCCACAGGGAACAGAATAACCTCCTTGGCTGCTGTCCTCTGAAATGAGATTGTTGTGGGGTCGACGGTACAGTTAAGACCTTCTCGGGTTCTTTTCCTCTCTAGGATTTTACCTTAACTTCTCTCAAGTTCATACATTCATCCCAAGAGTAGAACTTTCTCTTCATCCTGAAACAAATAAAGAAAAGTTTAGGGTACACAGACTGACAATCTGAAGACACAAATTACACCGCTGGCTTTCTTACTCTGTTGTTATTCACTTTGGGCAAGATACGACATCTCTATTTCCTCTTCCTTAAAAGGAAACCCTCTGTTCTATATATCTCTAGGTTACTTGGCAAAGGTTCATGCCTAGGAGGTATACGAAATTCTGCTTGAACACAAAGGTGAGAGGATTACTATTAATCTTCCTTTCTGGGTGAGTTCTCACATTTCTTTCATCGGTTTAATTGTGCTTTTCTCCTCTCTCTTTCTGGTACCTGAAAGCTAAATAGGAAACACTGTTCTTCAGATGGGAGTAAGTGAAGAAATCACAAATTTTGACAGCAAATTTATTTGAATGATTTGATCTGACAACTTCTATATCCTTACTTCAGTTTTAAATAAGAGGTCCATAGAGTTAAGTGATTCGTCAGAAAAATGCAGAAGTAACCAAACTTTAGCAATAGCTTTCCTGAATTGTGTTCTGTACTTCCCCTTTACCACCCAATGGTGGTTACTATTAGAGATAAATATATGAAAAGTGTATTTAGCATAATAAAGCAATTCCATGATCTATACCATAGACAACTCGTTGCAGTCAAGTCGATCGTGGCTCATAGTGACCCTAGAGGACAGAGTAGAACTGTTCCATAGGGTTTCCAAGATTATAATCTTTCTTGTGGGTTCAAACCACCAACCTTCCGATTAGCAGCCAAGCACTTAACCACTGTGCCACCAGGGCTCCTATACCAGAGATAGAGGTTGTATTATTATACAAATGATTTCTAACCATCATATGAAATGAGAGACAAGAGAAAACAAGACTCATATTCTTAAAAATGTTTCTTCAGGTGTGGGAATTACAAGGCTGGATTATGAAAACTAAAAAACAAATAGGCCCTACTGCTTTCATTTAGCATTATAATCTCTTTTTGAAGTGTTCTAGAGGATTCTCAGAAAGCTTAGTGTTACCTTTATTAATCAGAATAGTTCCTATAGTCCAGAGCCATACACAGGTATGGAAATAAGTAAAGAACAAGCAGCATAACATTGTGGTAATGAATGTGGGCTGCTGGGATTCACATCCTCGCTCTGCCACGCACTAGTTGTATGACTTGGGCGAGTCACTTAATGGCCTCGGTGCCTCAAATTGCTTAGTTATTAAGTAGAAACTACTGCATAAGAAAAGTTCATTGTCAACTGCTTAGTTCAGCACTCAATAAATACTAGATATTCTTATTTTTACCAAAATCTATGATAGACCATAATAAGACATGAAGGTTATCACTGTGTCATGGATTGAATTGTGTCCCCCAAAAATATCTGTCAAATTGGCTAGGTCATGATTCCTAGTATTGTATGATTGTCTACCATTTTACCATCTGATGTGATTTCCCTATGTGTTGTAAATGCTATCACTATGATGTAATAAGATGGATTGGCAGCAGTTATATTGATGAGGTCAACCAGATTAGATAGTGTCTTAAGCCAGTCTCTTTTGAGACATAAAAGAGAGAGTGAGCAGAGAGACATGGAGACCTCATACCACCAAGAAAGCAGTGCCAGGAGCAGAATGCATCCTTTGGACCTGAGGTTCCTGTGCTGAGACACTCCCAGACAAAGGGAAGACTGATGACACAGACCTTCCTCCAGAACTGACAGAGAAAGCCTTCCCCTGGAGCTGATGCCCTGAATTTGGACTTGTAGCCTACTAGACTGTGAGAGAACAAACTTCTCTTTGTTAAAGCCATCCACCTATGGAATTTCTGTCACAGTAGCACTTAGATGACTAAGACACACTGTTAACTGTCTAAAATATCCTCAGTGAACCATTTATAATCATTCAGGGACTAGACATTTATGAAGGAGCTTGATGAAATTGAGGGCTGACTAAAGAGACTTTTCAGTGTTGTAGGTTTATAAATTATCTTGCTAGAATGCAAAAGGTAAATCTAGCACCATGATCCATTTAAAGTCAAATAGAATAAACTCAAATATAGCAATAATAGTAATTTAATAAAATGATCACATTTATCCAAAATTACACATACAGTCTGCTATGACTCTTAAAATGTAATTTCAGAATTTTAAAAATTCTACCTTTTAGGAGCCAGATAAAAATATTTTGAAGTTATTTTTCACAATTTAGTAATTATAACTTTTATTCTACTCGTAAAATCTCTACTAGCTTCATTCACATTTGCCAATATGCTACTTTCTTTCCAGCAATTACTACTTCTCAGCAATTCTTCTCTAAGGCAATGCATCTATCTGCAACAAATACAGAAGTTTCCTTATGAAACAATTATCCCAACAGCAATCCAATTTCTTAGAATAGCAAAGACAAGGCATTTCCTCTTATATCGCCTGTCATCTTCTGTTTCATTAATTCATTCATCCAACACCTACTACAAAGCAGATATGGATACCATGACACTTGTCATTGAATAGAGGGGACAGTTTAAGCCAGTGGACACAAAACATATATACAAGGTAGTTAGAAGGATCATGGAATAGAATAACAAGGAGATGTCTTAAAGAGTTAATGACCAGGGAAGGCCTCTTTGATAAGGCAACACGAGAAGAGTGAGAAAAAGAAGTTTGAGGCAGACAGATACAACATGCGTGTAGGTCCTGAGGCTAGAAAGAGCTGGCTGGTTACAGGTAATAAAAGGTCACTCCAGGCTGCTCCGTATTTCTTTAATGCCCTGAGCTAGTTTCCACGGCTATTCCCAACTACTCAATATTATCTTAGGGAAATGATAGGGCTATTACTAGACCTCTTTTCCTACTCTACTTTTTCGGTTCTCCATAGCACTTACCACCTCTTAATATACTATAAAAAAAGCCAAACCTGTTGCCGTCAAGTTGATTCCAACTCATAGCTCAACACTATAGGAAAGAGCAGAACTGCCCCATAGGGTTTCCTGAGCAGCCAGTGGATTTGAACAGCCGACCTTTTGGTTAGCAGCCAAGCTCTTAAATACTGTGCCACCAGGGCTCCTCATATACTACAGAACACATTTATTATGTTTAGTCCTCCTCTCTGCCCCCAAATATAAGCTTTTCAACCAAACTTGTTGCTCTCCAGCCGATTCTGACTCATAATGACCCTACAGGACAGAGTAGAAATGCCCCATAGGTTTCCAAGGCTGTAATCTTTATGGAAGCAGACCACCACATCTTTCTCCTGCTGAGTGGCTGGTGGCTTTGAACCACCAACTTCTCAGTTAGCAGCCGAGCACTTTAACCACTGCACCACCAGGGCTCCTTAAGCTTTTCAAGGACACCTACAAATGCCAGCACATAGATGCTCAATAAATGCTTTTAAATGAATAGATGTATTCCTATACCGACGTGTGGGCTCATAAGGAACTGTACCACAGACAAGAGGCCCTTGGGAATGGAATTGCCACTCAACTCCTTAAAGGGCAGAGAGCTAATAAACATTCGTTAACTTAATGAGAAGGTGAGGGACACTTACTACCACCTTCTAGCGAGAATTTTATGTTATAGCTTTCTCTGAAATGGCAGCAGGTAACACAAGGCTTCTTACCAGTGACCTCAATTAAAATCTCCCAAAGGACATTTTCAAAAAAAGGTACCTTTTATTTTATTTACAGTGTTCTCCCACTTTCTAAATCCTCACCCTCCACTTCATCCTTGTCCCACCCACTTACTGAGTTAAGTACAAACTTTATTCCTCATGTTCCCATTCTCAGATTGTAACAGTCTGTCCATTATCTACCAGCTGCTAGCCACACAGTACTTTGTTGGCCATCTCAGTACTGTGCTAGCTCTCAGCCTCTTCTCCATCTCACTCCCCAATATGGTTTTTTTTTTTTTTTTTTTTAGAATATGCACAGCAAAACATACACCAATTCAACCGTTCCTACATGTATGTACATTGATGACATTCTTCAGGTTGTATAACCATTCTCACCCTCCTTTTCTGGGTTATTCCTCCCCCATTAACATAAGGAGCCCTGGTGGTGCAGTGGTTAAAAGATCAGCTGCTAACCAAAAGATCAGCAGTTTGAATCCATCAGCCACTCCTTGGAAACACTATGGGGCAGTTCTACTCTGTCTGTGGGGTCGCTATGAGGCAGAATCGACTTGACAGCAATGGATATTAACAAACTCACTGCCTCTTAAGGTCCCAATATGGCTCTTAACCAAGTGTGTCTGATTCGAATAGCTACCACCTGCCCCCGCCCCACAAGCTGATTCCTTAGTTCTTTAAGAGCTTTCAGAATGAAAAATACCTTCTTCCAGATGATGTAGTTCCCCTTCATGGGACATGTTTAACTGCCCACTCTGAAGATTAAGCATAGGCAGCTCTTCTCCATCTGCTACACTAAATTTATTCAACATGAATTTTTGGGGGGAGGGGGAAGGCATGGATGGATTGGAAGTGTTATACAAAATGTTATATCTAGAATATTCCCGAACTAAACTGGGAGTGCTGAAAATTTTATACCACCATGGATAAGATGATGGTCTTGATTGGATATTCTGGGATGTGGGTTGTTTTGGTAACCAACATGGCTAAATTGAGAATGCAGAAAAAAGGGCCTAATATCTGTAACTTTCAGGTAGAGTTTACTTCTTTGCATCAGCCTTAAGAGAAATGGCATCGCTTCATTGGATGATGCTTGTACACAATATAAGGTCAACAAACTCTCCTAAGAGTCTGTTTCCCTCATCATCCCAGAAGCTTAAGGAATAATGACTACAGTTAACATTCCTTTTGGTAATCCTGCCTGGCTTCACAGTTCCTTAACTTCAGTGAGA